TTATGAAATGTGCGATTCAAAAGTTGATAAAAATTGTAAATCCCATAAAATTTGTGGTTGAAAATGAATTTTAAAAATGAGAGTCAAATAGCGACTATTACTGCATGTTAGTTTTAATTAATTAATAAGCATGTTAGGGAGAAATGATTTATGTGGTTTTAATTAAAAAGCGTGTTAGGGGAGAAATGGTTTATGTGGTTTTAATTAAAAAGCGTGTTAGGGAGAAATGGTTTATGTGGTTTAACCAATCAGAAGACTTGCTAAAAGCCAAGGCTATTTTTGGTACTTAGTTATTCGATAGAATTGGATGGTTTGGTAAATAAGTATTTTTTTAGTTGGGTGATATTCAATACTAGTTAATTATGGTGTGTGTTGGTAGGAAGTATTGAACAAAATTGAACAGTGCAATATATCAAATTTAAACGTATCTTTAATATCGTCATGTTACGCGTGGTTCTTAAAGGAAAAAATGGTTCCACGGTATACTATTCAGTATTTTTTACTTATAAACATTTGTTTTAACTTTCGTGTAAAGTATCGAACATCATTTAACAGAATGTTACATCATAAAGTTTTAACTTATTTACATTCATTAATATTTTTATTACACTATGGTATTAAGAGGTGGTTCTTGAAGGAGAAAAAATGGTGTTAAGATAAATATACAGTGAAATGAGGACAGTCAAATAAATGTATGGTGAATAGGATAATAGAATGTACATCAACGCTTAAGTCGTTAATAGATGATAAATTAAAGTCAGACTTTGTTTGATTTCCATTTTTTTTCAAAATACATTTTTCTTTCATTTTTTTAAACCATACATTCTTTCCCCCATATATATATATATATATGCATTTCTATGGACGTTTATTCAAGTATTATAAGTTTTTTTTTTAATTTTATTAAATGGAACATCTAATTAAAAAAATTCTTTAATTTATCTTCTTTATTCTAAAATACTCAAACAAATCTTCCTCTACATTTCTAAAATCTTCAATAAATATCTTCAAAAGTTTGTCAAATATGTGGGTTGATCGCATATATTGCTAGCTAGTTTTAACCTTTGAACCTTGTGTGTCCAGACTTCCTTTGCATAATTTTAGTATATTCTTAAGTGCAAGTGTTGGCTGCACTTACAATTCTTCATTTATTTCACAACCACGGTGTAAAATACTTGTATCATATTTAAAAGTGTAAATATTCTTATAATTCTCTAACTATTGTATTGAAACTTATATATAAATTGAAAAAAGTTAATATAATATAATATTACAGTATTGATTGTATTTGGAGGAGCAATTGTTAGACAAAAAAAAAAAAAAAAAAGAAGGAAAAGAAGTTACCTATACAAGACGACAATTTAGATTATTTTCTAAAAATATATTCCATTCATTTGAATGGTGGTCAAACTATTATTATCATAAACTTATAAACCAAATCACTAACTATCGAATTAAGTTGATTCATTATAAAATTCTCACTAATCATATAACAAAAAGAATTAGCATATCTTATATTTTTAACGTAAATTCTTAATTTAGTTAATTTGATGTTAATTAGTTATTTACTTTTCATTTATTTAAATATTAATATCTATTGAAAATTACATTAATTCATTTAATAAATTTAACTATTACATTTCAAATCTAAATAAGTATTTAAAATTATTATTATTATTAATTTTTTTTTTTTAAATTAACATAGAGATGGGAAGAGATGCTATGGATGGAATTGAACACATATTTTAAATTAAGGATGCCATTGAATATTTGGGAAATTTGGTGGATAAAACTTGAGAATCACCTAATTTTAATTTATATTCATATATTTTCTCTCCTCATTACTTACCGCAAAAACGATTTTTCTCTTACACGTGAAAAAATAATTTCGAATGATAAAATCTGAACTCTTCAACAAGAACCAAACTTTCTCTAATACAAAAATACTCCTCCCCCTCCATGATATCCAACAGGGAAATATGAACAAAGTACCGGGTTTTTTTAAATTCACAAAGGATTAGAAATCACCAAACAGTGTCGAAACACACACTGTAGTAGATCAACCCAAATGCTTTCAAAGAAGGCTTCTTACTGGTCTCAACACCTTCAAAAACGTTAAAAACATGAGCAACCGAATCAATATCTACATACCTATCTTCGATGGGCCTATCCCCAGCAGTTGAACATTATGGAACCGTAGGTAATGGTAGCAAAGCAGAATTACTCATATCATCCAAACTCAATTTAGTACTACTCTTCAATATGGACCCTGAACCAAATCCCAAAGGTACAACACCAAAATGAATCTCCACCATGATACTAAGTTTGCTTTGAGACTCCATTTTCTCCAAAAAACGTGTACCCTTCTGAATCAATAGTACTCAAGGAAAGAGACTATTCTTCAATTCTGGATATGTTGAATGTGATCAAATGTTCTATCTATTAGCTTTAATCTGACTCTACCAATACCAATTATCCAACAAGGTTTGTTGTTACCCATGACAATAATACCTTACGTCACCCTTTCATATACTTCAAACAAATTTTGATTGAGACACATTTGGAACGCACAAGCTGTATCCAAAATTCACTTCTTGTCAGGTTTGTATTCCATGTCAAAAATTGTCAAAACACTTCCATCACCCAAATAGTTCTCGCCTATGTTGGTTGCATCTGAAGTATTTGTTGACTTTCCATGATTTATAGTCAAATCACTTTTGTTCTGCCATTTGTCGCAATCCCACTTAATGCTTCCTTTCTTCCTACAATAATAACAAACTTTATTACTGAAATTTGACCTCGACTTATCCTTTCTCGAACCACGAGGAATGATAAGACCTTCTCCATCTCTGGCCCCAAATCTAACCAGATGCTTCACCTCTTCTTTTGAAAACAAGGCATCATACATATCTTCAATAGTAAGAGTATCACGACTATACAACATCGAGTCTCTAAACAAAGTAAATGAAGCGGATAACGAACACAAAAAGATTAAGGCCAAATTTTCTTCATCATACTTTATCTCTAAAGTCTCCAAATTAACGATGATTTACTTGGACACAGGGAGATGATCTTCCAAAGATTCATCTTCTGCCATGCGATGAGAAGACAACCTTTGCTTTAGATACAATTTGCTTGTCAAACTTTTAGTCATACATAATTGCTCCAACTTCAACCACAACACAGTTGTTGATTTCTCTTTCAAAATGTTCGGAAGAATAATGTTAGAGAGATGAAGATGGATCTGTGAAAGTGCTTTTCAATCATTCCATTGTTTCTCCTCCGAGGTCCAAGTTGTGGGCATCTTGTCAAATCTCAACAACACTTCATCCAAATCCATCTATGCGGGACAACTCGCAGCTTCACTGCCATAACGAGAATCTTGTATCGCAATCCAAGATCGAAATTTCATACTTCATGGCTGTGTTGAAGCATTCAACGGTTCTTCGCCACCTTTCTTTTTAAGGTTGATCTTGTTTAATTGAAGCTAATCCTATGCCTCTTGAAAAAGAGAAAGCGAGGACTTTCTTTTAGCTATTGGCCTTTCGAATCCTTATCCCTGCCGGCCGAGACTACACTTGCTCCGTGACTTGCTGCTTACTTCCCGACCCTACTATCATTATGCCTTTGCAATGTTACTTGGTTCAACTCTATTTGTGACCTTTTCTCGTATGTGGGACTCTAGCTAATTCTTCAAAAGCTTCTTCAAGGTAGGCGGGAAAAAAGCATTAGAGGAGGCATGGGGAATCACCACCACATCGCACCTGCCACTGACTGGAGAGCCGTGTGAAGGGGTTGATTTGTGAGATCAGCCCAAGACTTAGACCTAGCAACTAGCTGCTGCAGGATTGGATGTCTATCTATCTCACCACACTCCCCTAGGCGGAAGGAATGCTCTGCTCATCTACAATTATTCTATATTTTAGTGGTACAAAACTTATAAAAAGAATCTAATATTTATAGCGGTGAATGTCAAGTTCTAGAAATACTACAAAGATGGGAACAAGATTAAAAATCATGTGGAATAAATGAAACAATATTTTTTCTAATAAAAATGCGTGGAATAAAAGAAATAATATTTTTAAAAAAATCCACGTAATTTGGGTCAAAAAATTCAAAAATTAGTTGATTTCTCATGTTTTCATTAATTGAAATAGATTTTAAATGATACTTAGTCTATAAATATACAAAACTCATTAGAAATTGTAACCTGCCCCCATCACATTTTAATGGATTTTGAGTCCAGTAATACAATGCCAAATGATTTATATCGCCGATAATTTTCAATTATCATTCTTATGGGATAAAATATAAACGTTGAATTGTGTTCTCATTTTTATTAGAATTTTGGAACCAAATTTTTATTCTAGACAACTAATTAAAATTTAAAAAAAAAATATTAAATAGTCCATTCCGCTTTTAAAATTCTATTAACAAGTATTTAATAAAAAAATATCTAGTGTACATTTCACATTTAAAAAAATATTTAGTGCAAATTTTGTACGTAATACTCGACATTGTACTTTTTGTATTCTCCATTTCTTTTTTATGTTCAGTAGTTTTCTATTAATTCCATATATTATATATTTTATTTCAAACTGGTTATCAGTACGAGGCTTGGATGAACCGAGCTAGCATAGGTTTGGGTATTTCTGGTTCTCAAAGTTTGATCAGTGAAAATTATTGGCCATTTCTGATCTAATAATTCTATGAACTGATGACACTCTTGGAGTCTTCAAGGAGAATCTAAGTTTTTAGCCTGCTTATTATTTTTAGGTCAAGAATTGTTTTAGTAACTTTTTTCTGTTTTTGTTTCATTTTTATATCTAAAATCATATGATTATTGGCAAAAAAATAAAATATAAAACATAAATTAGGAGGGGGGCATTTGGCCTAACATCTGGTCAATGAAATACGATATGAAAATGTTATCCATTGCAAGGAAATCCTAGCTTAAGTAAGAAGAAAAATAATGTTAAATTTCGTGTCCTTTCGACATACATCATGTCACCATGCATGTGTTTAGTCATATATTTTGTCGGCTCTTCATATCCCTCATCGATGTCATTTTCAAAATAAGCTAATATAGGGTCAAAACCTACGTAAGGAAAATCACTCCATAATCAAATGCATCCCCTGTACAGTTTCGTGCAATTTAAATTCTAGCAAAGTTGTTTATACCTGCCCTAATTATAGAGGTTCCTACGCCATTATAAATGGAATCTCAAGTCGAATTCGGTCTTCGATTGCATTATTCACCATCATTTGCCCAATGCCATTTTTTAATGGTCTCATCCCCAAAGTTGACTCAGCAAATCCTAATAACACTTCATACACTAGTTTTCAACCCCAAATTTCAATTGACGGCTAATTTTGATATTATGATTTCTATTCTAGATTTATTAAGAAAGAATAATTCTATTTGTACAATGTTTTATACAACATAGTTGACAAGGGGACCAAGTGACGGCCCCTTATTGGAGGGGCGACTGTATTGTACATCTAGCACAACTCATTACGAAAAGGACGTTATTTATTGTTCCTTGGTTAATCAGTACACTTTATCAAATAAGTTGAAATTATTCACTTACACCTTACACTTCAGCTGAGTCTAACGAGGCTCAGGTGCGGAGCCTTACACTGTGGACTGAGACTACGCAAAGGTAGAACACCATAGAAACTTCGCTGACTTTATCATAAACCTTGATTTCGCTACGCTCAATAAGAACCCGGAATAGCGGAAATCGGTTCGTGTTCCGACTGACTTTCCGCTTCCAAAGTCAGTCGTCTTTGCCCAAGTGTGAACTGTAGACGACTCTCCAGTGGTTCCATTCCTTCTTATTGTACTTCTGGGTCAACCCAACCCGAATAGGAAGAAGAGGGTTAGCCAAACTGCGGTCCACTTTGTACGTTTGCTGAGTAGACCAATCAGTCATTTTAAAAAAGGGAAGGGAACTTCTCACCGAAGGAGGCGGGAAGCTACCGCTTCTAGAATGGAAGCTTATCCTTGACTTTTTTTTATTTCGTACATTCACACATTTATTAGGCTTAAAAAAAAAAAAAAATCTGATAGTGTTATACAGTGGTCTAAATCGAATGTAGCATTAACATATATAAGAATATCAATTACTAATGAGTTTAATATACGATTATCCTCGTTGTCTATCTAATACCTTATTTAAAGTATGAAAAAATAATTAGTGACTGTCCATATCTCCCTCCGCATTATCCATTATTGTAATTTCACTTCTTGTTCTACGTCGCTCCACTGAGGGAAAGTAAAGTATAATTCCCAAATAGAACAAATGAAATTACTAAAATATGATAATGTCGAGCAAAATATGGACGCACACAAATATATATATACTTAGGAAATTTTAGCTACATTAAATAGACAACATGTATAGATGTATATTAAATTACTAAATGATTGATATTCTTTTATTGTTGACGCAACACTTGATTTGAAAGAAAATCCAATACTGTCAACTTTCTGTTTATAAGCCTCGTGTGAATTTTATTAGTATACCAACAAAGTAACAATAAACATCGTCTTTTCCTTAATAAATTTTGAGTAGATTATACATATTTTGCTTGTCACTTCGTACTTTAATTGTTAAATGTATTGAAAAAAATTAAAATTGACTCTTTAATTAGCAATTCCAACGTGACATGTAGTTTCAGCCTACGCATCTGTTTTTGGATACGATGTATCAAGATTGCTCTACTCTTATGAATGTGTGTCCTTTTATGTCTCTTTTAAGGCATGTCTAATAACGTATATAGTCCTTAATTTATCTCCAATCTATGTCACTCCTAATTTGCTAACAAATATACCCATCCTTTTTTATAGTATATATGTATCTGTACATAACAATTTTGTACTTTTGACATTTATTTATAAGTGTTATGAATTGATTGTAAGATAATGACAATAATGAAATAAATAGGAATACAATACGAAAACCAAAATTCATGTGGAAATCCAATATATTAAAAAATCACAGGTAGAGGAGGAGAATTTCATTATAATCAATAGCAATTATGTTTACAATAAGATCTCAATAATCTCAATTAAGATCTAAAACTCTGAAAATGTTGTACGAATTGTCTCTCAACAATTCAATTCGCGACTTATGTATATAAACCTAGAAATCAACTTGTGGATCAATAGGAGTCGAGAAAATACGTCAAAATGCGATAAGGGCCTGGGCCAGGTAACTTTGTTGCTTGAGCGATAGGTTGGCAATAGGCGGTCAACAATTCTGTTGTTCAAGAGCCAGATGAGCATAAGTCTCCAGAGAAAATATGCAAGCGCCGCTCGAGTGACTAGCTAGTAGTA